ATCTCATGAACCGAGTGTTCAAACCCTATCTTGATGAGTTCGTTATTGTCTTCATTGATGACATTTTCATATACTCCAAGTCACCGAAAGACCGTGAGCAGCACTTGTGAATGGTTTTACAAACACTACACAATCACAAACTTTATGCCAAGTTAAAGAAATGCTTATTTTGGATCACTAGTGTACACTTCCTCGGTCACGTCATTAATAAGGATGGCATCTCGGTTGACCCCCAAAAAATTACAGCAATTGTGGATTGGCCACGACCTACTAATGTGTCAGAAATACGAAGTTTCGTAGGTCTAGCTGGCTATTAACGACGCTTTGTGCAAGATTTCTCAAAGATAGCATCACCCTTGACCCAGCTAATTTAGAAAAACACACACTTTGAATGGGCCGACAAGCAAAAACGTTGCTTTCAAGAGTTAAAAAGCAGACTTGTGTCACGCGAGAACAGATGGGTTCGTCATTTATAGTGATGCCTCATATAATGGTTTGGGTTGCGTTCTTATGCAAAATGGAAAAGTCATTGCTTATGCTTCGCGATAACTAAAGAGTCACGAAAAGAACTACCCAACTTATAATCTAGAGTTGGTTGCAGTGATTTTTGCCCTCAAGATCTGGCACCATAATCTTTAAAGTGCAACCTGCGAGATTTATACTGATCACAAAAGTCTTAAATATCTGTTTACACAGAAGGAATTGAATATGAGGCAATGGCGGTGGCTAGAATTTATGAAAGACTATGGTGTAGAGATCCATCACCATCCAAGCAAAGTTAATGTGGTGGCAGACGTACTAAGCCGAAAGATGACTAGAAGTTTGGCATGTACTCTCGTTTCCCGCAAGATTAATGGATTGTTTGCCAATATAACCGTGGAACCCACTTTGAAGAAATTAAAGCACACCAATATATAGATAAACTTTTAAAGAAAAAGTACGATGAGCAAATGAGTACGCCTGATCCCGACTTCACTATAAGCAATGGGTTGCTAAAATTTCAGAATCGAATCTGCGTACCCGACATTCTAGAACTCAAGAAGAAGATATTGGTAGAAGCTCATAGCTCGAGGTTTACGGTCCACCCTGGTAATACAAAGATGTACCATGATCTGAAAGAATACTACTGGTGGACAGGAATGAAAATAGACATAGCATGCCACATCACCAAATGCCTACATTGTCAGCGTGTTAAAGTAGAACATCAGAAACCTGCAAGACTGCTATAACCACTTACTATACCTGAGTGGAAAAGGGAACACATCACTACGGACTTCGTGGTCGGGTTGCCACAGTCAGTCTCAAAAAATGATGCAATATGGGTCATAGTAAACCGATTGACGAAGTCGGCGCATTTTCTACTAATCAAAATCACATACGCCCTTAATAAGTTTGCCACTTTATACATCAAGGAAATCATTCAGTTACATGGTACCCCAGTTTCAATCGTGTTTGACCGAGACCCCCGCTTCGTGTCTCACTTCTGGAATACATTGCAAGAAGCTTTGGGAACCACACTAAAGTTTAGCATTGTTTATCACTCGCAAACTAATGGCAATCAAAAAGGACAATCTAGACTTGGGAGGATATGTTATGTATGTGTGTGTTGGACCTCAAAGGTAATTGGGATGAGCATCTACCTTTAGTGGAATTCGCTTATAACAACTGCTACCAAGCAAGCATTGGAATGGCCCCGTACAAAACACTGTATGGAAAGAAGTGTCGATCACTTCTGTGTTGGACAGAAGTCAGAGACATGAGGTTATTAGGCCCTCAAATCGTACAGATAATGAGTGATAAAATTCAACTCATCCAACAGTGAATTTGCACTGCCTAACCCTGCCAAAAAAACTATGCAGATACACGGAGACGAGACTTGGAATTTCAAGTAGGAGATCATGTTTTCCTAAAGACTCACTAACAAAAGGGGTTATCTGATTTGGAAAGCGAGGAAAGTTAAACCCACGTTACATCGGGCCATTCAAAATACTAGAAAGGATTGGTCCTGTTGCATATCGCTTTGCACTGCCACTTGAATTGTCCTGTAATGCCCCGACCCTTTACACGTCATCGATATTGTCCGTTTTGGGTCATGCCCGTACGGATTTGTTCTTCCCAGTGGGTCACCATCCTAGAACTACTCCAGCCTAAGCACGCTTAACTGGGGAGTTCTAATAGGGATTTCACCACTTGGGAAAAGGCCTCGATGCTATATAAGGGTCCAAGTTTTTACTTTTATAGCCCAGGAACTCCCCCTCCATTCCCGATGTGGGATACCGGGGCCATACAATCCACCCCCCATAAGGCTGCCCGTCCCCGTGCAGTAGCCTGCCAGCTCGCAAGCCCGCCCACATGCACCGAGAGACGCCAGGGGCCCACACTCGGTACTCCGGAGAGTCGGGTCTGATACCATTTGTAACGCCCCGACCCTTTACACGTCATCGATATTGTCCGCTTTGGGTCATGCCAGTACGGATTTGTTCTTTCCAGTGGGTCACCCATCCTAGAACTACTCCAGCCTAAGCACGCTTAACTGGGGAGTTCTAATAGGGATTTCACCACTTGGGAAAAGGCCTCGATGTTATATAAGGGTCCAAGTTTTTACTTTTATAGCCTAGGAACTCCTCCTCCATTCCCGATGTGGGATACCGGGGCCTTACATGTCCAATGTCCACAATGTGTTTCACGTTTCGATGCTTCGGCAATATCTTCAAGATCCAGAACATGTTATCGATTATGAGAACTTGAAAGTTCAAAAGGATTTCTCTTATGAAGAACAATCAGTGCAGATTCTCGATTGTCGTGATCAAGTTCTTCGAAACAAGACTATACCTCTTGTAAAAGTTTTATGGAGAAATCATTGAATTGAAGAAGCAACGTGAGAAACTAAAAGTCAAATGCGAGTCAAATACCCGTACCTCTTCGAAAATCAAGGTACGTGAAATTTGAGGACAAACTTCTACTTAGGAGGGGAGAATTATGACGCCCTAAATGTTTAATTACATATTCCGCAAAAGTAAAATAAAGTGTTGAATGTTATGATTGTATGTGATAAAATGAAATTTAATTAGGAATTATATATATTATCAAAAAAAGGGTATATAATTAAATTAGAATTAAATCAAGGTTTAATTAAAAAATAAATAAAAATAAAAATAATAATAATAATTACAATGGCCTGTCACCACCCTAGCATATAGGGTGGTGACTATGCACATATAGCATAGGTGAGTCATGGGGGAATAGGAGAATAGGGCCACTTGTGAGGACAGGTGGCCAAATTATAAATTGCCCCATATCAATAAGAAAAAAGCCATGTGTCCTTCTCCTCTATAAATAGTTCGCACTTGTGGCTGACCTCGGATAAGAAGAAAATATACTTGCGGGTAACAACGAGGCCTTTGGCTGCATCACCTAATTCTTTTCTCTCACCGTCTGCCGCCTGTGCTGCATCTTCACCCCACTCTTGCTCTTCTATTGGCTGATGACCCGGTTCACTATCAGCAACAATAACTAAAGGCTCGCCATCTTCGTCCTCATCGTCACTTCCAATCACTCCAGTCTTTCCCATCGCCATCGGTCCGTGGTTATCATTCAATACAATCTGCAAATCATCCTCACTATCACTGTCCCAATCATCACCCTCACCGCTCGCTACATCCCGCATCACAAAATTCGAGTCACCTCGATTATCCACAGCATCCGAAACACCAGGAATCGATAGACCAGGTATCACTGGCTCCGAACCCAAATCTTCAATCCCAGTATTGACCTCTTCTATATCAAATTTCTCAAAATTATCGTTTTTATCCAAAGAACATTCATCTTTTGCAACCAATAGATCATCTTTATCAGCTCTCTCCTCGACAACAACATCAATCCCGGACTCATCTATCAAATTTGGAAATTTCAAATCGCCGCCACTCTCCAAAACCCTAGGCACACTTGGCTTCGGCAAATCCGACCCTAAATTACTCACCCCCTCAGCTAAACCATCTTCTTTCTCCACTTCTTGACTTTGCTGCTTACCATCCAATTCCAAATTCAAATTCAAATTCCGATGAGAATCGGAACTTGAGGCGAGACCCAGTTCGGGGGCAGCCTTATCGGACTTGAAAACTAGGGTTTGGTTCTGATGCGAGCTTGTGAGATTGAAAATAGGGTTAATATTAGGAGCTCCAAAGAGAATATCTTCATCATCGCTCTGAATGTTGAGATCGATCGGGCGGTTCTGACAGAGAGCCGAGGATTGGAAGGGTCGGAGGACGTCAGTGTACAGATCTCCGAACTCGTCATCGTCGTCCTCCATGAGAGAGAGAGAGAGATGGAGAGCTGATTATACGGAATGATGGGTTTTGATGTTTGTCTAGGCACAAAAATAGAATAAAGATCCCTCCTTGCATTTCTCACCTCAACAATGATTCATCCCACTAAAAACATCACCACTAATAGCACTAATATATTAAAAAAAATACAACTCTTAAACCAAAACATCACATCATTAATGGAGGGACCCACTACCACCTAATTAGTGGAAGCACTAATTAGTGCTCCCAAACATTTTTCTTCTTACTTTTGCAGGGCTATTGGGCTCACTTAGGTTTAATTTTAATAATTTAAATTGTTTATTATATTATATTTATAAAAAATTAAATTGATCAAATATTCAAAAATTAGGGATGACCCGTGCCTGAAGGCACTACCAACAATTTTTTTGGTGTCACGTGCTACGAAACTCAATGATAATAAATCAATTCAAAATGGTAATGTCACTCCGACTTAAAACTTCACATATAAGAAATTGAAATTGTTTCTGCACATTGAATTAGCGAAAGCATTTATAAATTTCAAATAGTAAATTTCAAAATTAAAGTCCAAAAAATGAATTATGTATTTGAATGTAGCATATGCAAAGAATCTAAAAATATTTGCTAAACTTAAAAGTCCAAATAGCAAATTTTAGATTTTTATCCACGTCAAAATGACACACCTATACACTATAGCAAGTTAGAATGTGATAACCTTCAATAAAAGAATGTTATTGAATTAGTATTACAACTGGTAACCCTATCGCTTTATCAGGTTTAAATTCCTTCAAATAAAGGTCAATGAACATTATGATACAAAAGAATCATCCTAGCTAACCCAAAAATAAATAAATAAATAATTTAACATGAGAGAGCCAACCAATAACACACTGGTAGAAGCAACGTAACCCAATGTTTCCAATATGGATCAATGACCTGCAACAAAATCACTCGCTTAAATTCGCTTCAAAAAACCAATAGCTATGAAAAATTACATCAAAATGCATATGAGAAATCCGAAGAAATTGCAATGAAGAATAATTGCATCAAAAGAAACTGTAACATGAAAAATCGCATCAAAATACATATGAGAAATAGGAAAATCAATAGCTATAAATTAAGAAGAATTGAACATAACTATTATGGTCAATTGAATTATGTATGCATTACTAAAGTAAACAAATGAGAATAGACAATTGTACGCATTACTAAAGTAAACAAATGAATAGAAAAGCAAATAATAGTATAGAAGGATCAATTGAGAATGCCGATAAATCATACAAACCTCCAAATAGAATTAAACTCAAATTTTATAAGGGAAGCGAATAATTTTCTTTATTACGACTAAGAGAGTCTTGTTATAAGGAAGAAGAATTTTTGAAGGTTGTAAAACCAAACAAAATTAAAATTTTAAACAATTAAAGCTTACCTTGTGCGAAGTATCCTTTTTGGATGATCATGCTCCTTTGAGTTTCCATCCTTGTGATAATGCATAACTCATTTTCTAGTTGAAGCATTATGTATAACAATTAGTAGGCAACAAAAAAAGAATCAAACTTGAAATTAATGTTAATGGGCAAATCTAACTAAAATTAAACCCAAGGTTAATTAAATAAAATTAATTGTATTATTTTTTTAAACAGAGATTACAACCAAATACTTGTGCTAGTTTATTTATCATTTTAATATTTTTGGAATCAAAACCATTCAGAAACACATTTAAATCTAACCCATTTTAAAAAAAAAAAATCATTACATGAAGATAAGTTTCTAAAATCTAAACCATTTCAAAAAATTATTACATGAAATTCACAACTTTTCCTCATCTCATACCCAACACCACATTTGCCTCAAACCAATCAATTGACCTGCCTACTAAAAAAAAATAAAAAATAAAAAGGGATTACATACTTTTCACTTTCTAAGTGATTGATAATATGTTGTATACTCCAAATCAATCACCAAGAATTTGCCCACAACATTTAAGAGAGCACTTCACCAACATTAAGGGTTGAAAGTGAAACCACCTTCTTCTTTACTTATGAGTTACCATTATGCATAATCATCCAATTAAAAGTATAAAGTATGTTTAAACTACTTCAAGCATAAAGTAAGTTTATGCCATCACTCATTACTCTTGGATGACTAACTAATAACATAGATGGTCTACTAAATTAATTTAGTTCCAAACCCACATATTTGAAGAAAAAAAGAAACAACCAATTGGCTTAAAATTGGCTTTTATTAATCTAGACCTCTTTACTGTTTTTCTTTTACAAATTCTTTATAGACCTCATTGAACCAATCTCAGCATTGTTTATAGAGTCTTACAAAAAAACTGACAAAGCTGAAAGTATAATTTTTTTGGATAAATTACAAATACACCCCTGAGGTTTGCTTAAAATACGAATTGTTCCATGTGGTTTGGAAAATTACAACCTGTCAGAATTTTTTATTTAACAAAAATAATTAAAAAAGTGAAATTTCTAACTGTTCACCTATACAATAATCAAATTATCTGAATTATTAATTGAAATAAAATTTTAACATTATTAAAAATTGTTAATTAACTTGATGATTTATTAATAAAAGGACATATTTATTAGGAAATTAGAAACCTTAGAGCACATAATGTAATTTCTAGAACCACAGGGGGAAATTTGTAATTTAAGTAAATCTCAAGGGATGTGTTTGTAATTTATCTTTTTTTTATTTATTTATCACAACTTACAATCCTCACTCTGAAAATAAAATAAAAAATGAGAGGAGAAGAAGAAGAAGAAAGAAATAAAGAAAGAAAGAAAAAAAAAAGAAAGGAAAGAACAGGCGCAATTCTTGTACAAAATAACAGATGATTTTCACCTAATAAAACTAAAATATATTGAGTTAAGAGTCATCACAGGAGTAAAGGGAAAAAGAAAAAAAATTGACTCTAACCCATCCAATCAAAATTTTAATTTATTATAATCATATTTGTTTGTCACATCTATTTTAAAATGAATATACAATTGTGCCTACAGTGTTTAAATTTTAAAATGAAAATTTTAATTGATTATAAGCACTGGTAAAGTTATAGGGTGTGGAATAAGTAGTAGGCAAAGTTATTCTATTAAATCAACCTGATCTAAATTTCTTTTCCACCCCCAAAATCACCTATATCAAGAAGAAAAATTACAATAAAAAGAAACTCCATAAATACACTTCTAGTTCCCCAAACAAAGATATAAAATTGTGAAAAAAAAAGGCTCACTTGTTTAATGGGCCGTTGTGCCATTGCTCTCCATTTCTTGAAAAATTCACTAATAGACCCACACAACACTTCCATTCATTGTATGATCTGAATTTTTCGAGTCTAATCAAAACAAAACAAAATCAAACATAAAGGCATTCTAAACCATGCTAATTTTCAAAATTATAGTAAAAATTATCACAATGATTATCATCAAAATTGTATGAAATTCAAAAATTAAAATAGAAGGCCCAAGTTATCACCATAAAAAAATAAAGTACTCGCTCTTCGTAGTTCTGAACCTAGCTAATAATCCAGAAGATAGCTACATGTAAATGAAGCCTATCTAATAAAAATTTAAGATTCTTAATTTTCACAACATGTAAAATGAAGCCAAGTTGAACAATAGATAAGCAACAAATTATTGACAAATCCATCAATGGAAGGCAGACCAATTACCTAATCAACCATTGCGGCAAACAAAGTCACAACAACTTTTTATGAGCTAATCAAACACTCCTTCAAGCCAAGGCATATGTACCTGAAACAAAAAGAAGAATAGAAAATATAAGCAACCAAGCTCCATTATCCAAAATCAACTCCTTAAAAATTGCCAATTGTTTGTTATGACACCAGATACGTAGGGATTAAGAATAACCTCTCAAGAGAATTCATAATCTCATAATAGAAGACAGAGAAGTTGGATACCAGCAAGATAATCTCATAAGAATAATCTCTTTTCTTTCCTGGTCAGTCTTAAACTCAGCAAGATACCAGTAGTAGTCACCTTTCCTAAATTAATGAGAAACAGAGAATATAAACTTACTTCCAAAGAAATGACACAGATAAACTTCTTTCCAAAGAAATGGCACTAGATAAGTAGGAATTAAGAATAACCTCTCAAGGGAATTCATAATCTCATAATAAAAGACAGAGAAGTTGAGAGCAAGGCCAAGACGAATTGGGTGTGTTAAAGGGAGATCTGTATTTGCAATAGTAGAAACAGCCTTAAAAAAGAAAAAGAAAAAGAAAAAACAGCATCAAGAAGACACATCAAGTGAAGGTTAAAAACAAAACTATGTCAATATGCAGCAATTCACTATACATATCTCTAGTATAGGATGTCAAGACAATTAATCAACATGCCTCATAACCCTTCAGTGATTGTTCAACAACCTCTTTTCTTTCCTGGTCAGTCTTAAACTCAGCAAGATACCGATAGTAGTCACCTTTCCTGAATTAATCAGAACACAGAGAAGATAAACTTACTTCCAATTTGGAAAGGAAAGAAAAATTTGAGAAAAATAAAAAGTCACATTCAAGGTAGGCCCCAAACCAAATTGTATTAGTATTAGAAGTATCAACTGATAAAACCAAACACCACTAACTAATGTACTTCAAAAAAACAAAAATAAAAGAAGCACACCAACTAACAAGAAAAAAAAAATCTAAATCAACAACCAACATAAACAATTATTACAAAACCAACTATAATTTGACAACAAATTGAATTCATCTTGGTAATGAAAAAAAGAAAAGAAGCACAGAATAAGATTCTAAGCTAGTTTCCATATTAAAAAGTAACAAAGACTAACAATTAATGGTGTTCTACACAAAATTGGAAACCAATATGATGAATGTAGACAAACCAATATGATTAGTGGTATTCATATACTATCACCACAACCATATATGTATTAAGCATACTACACTGCAAGTAAGCATACTACACTGCAAGTAGACAAACCAATTTTCTAATCATTAAACCCATACCTACTATTTTCAATGTGTTTGATGGAGGTTAGTTTAGTATAGGATGTCAAGACAATATATATCAACAACCAATGTAAACAATTATTACAAAACCAACTTTATATGCAATAGTAGCTTTCCCTGAACTATCTGTTTCAATTTTTAATATATATCATTAGTTTTTCAACTTAATTGGTCTCTAAGTGAGTTACTCGAAGCTTAAACTTGAGTGAAAAAGATGCAGTTATGATGGCATGACTCTAAGAACATGTGAACATTGTATTTGCCTATGCAAGCCAAATAATGTTTTATGTAATAATTGCAGGCTCTAATAATTAGTAAATGTTTTCACAGTAGCAGAAGCAAAACCAAGGAAGATCTACAGAGTTAATTTTCATAGTTTGATGCTCAATACGGATCAAACAAATTTGATGCTAAGCAATTGCGAGTACCCACAAAAATCATAGATGGGATAATGAAAGTACCCTCACAAAAATTAGACACCTAAACTACAAAACCAAAATTTACTATCAAACAACAAAACAACAAATTCAAATAACTCCTTCAGGATTCAGAATTTAAACAACAAATCAAAATTATAGGCAAGAGCAAAGAAAGTGAAAAGGCAAACAACGAAGAGTGAATGAATTTTACCGGCAAGAGTAGAGAAAGGGAAAAACACAACATAATCAACAACGATCGGGAAAAAATATTGTACAGCGAGTTCGAAGTCTTACCTAAATGAGAAACAAATCACATAATATAAATGAGAAACACAATCAAACTCAAATGAGAAACAAATCACATAAAAATTTAGACACCCAACGAAAACCCAAATAAAAATTTTGAAGCATTTTGGAGACCCATTTTACAAATCACATAGTGAATGCATATAAAGAGACATAAAACAAACAAAAAAAGCCAAAAAAGAAAAAAAAAAAAAAATTGAACTGAGAAACCCTAGATATGCCTAGAAAAGGGAGGAAAAATTTGAAGACGATACCGATCTCTTTCTCGTTGGTTGCGTCAATCGATCTACCTTGCATTTGATCAAACAGTGCGCTCAAATCAAAACCAAGAAGGGGAGTGGGTAGAAGAAAGGAAGAGAGAGACTGAAACAGAACCAGAGAAAGATTTACAAAATGGATTATATTATTTTTTAGTTAGTGAAACAATTATTTGAAGCATTACTATATAAAATTGATAATCTTATTAGTTTTAAAATTAAAAAAAAATTAATAATATTTTTAGTTTTATTAAATAGAATTTATTGGTTCAACAAATTTGAAATTGGACCTAAATTATTATAACAATTTAAAAGGAGTGGGTAGAAGAAAGGGAGAGAGAGACTAAAACAGAACCAGAGAAAGATTTACAAAATGGCCTCTTTACTGTTCATCCAAAAGTATAAAGCAGGTTTAAACTGCTTCAAGCATAAACTTTATGCCATCACTTATTACTCCAAGATGACTAACTAATAACATAGAGAGTCTACTGAATTAATGTAGTTCTAAAACCAAATATTTATAGAAAAATCAAAACGGCCAATTGGCATAAAACTGACTTTTGTTACTTTAGACCTCTTTGCTGTTTTTTTTTAAACAAATTCTTTCTAGACCTCATTGAGCCAACCTCAGCATTGTTTAACTGGCAAAGCTGAAAGCATAATTTGTTTTATTTTTTTTTTTTATCAAAACTTACAATTCTCACTCTGAAAGTAAAATAAAAATGAGAGGAAAAAAAAAAGAAAAAAAAAGAAAGAAAGAAAGGAAAGAATAGGCTCAGCTCCTGTAAAAAATAACAGACGGTTTTCACCCAATGAAACAAAAATATATTGAGTTAAGAGTCACAGGAGTAAAGGGAAGAAGAAGAAAAAAATTGACTCTAACCCATCCAATCAAAAATTTAATTTATTATAACCACATTTTTTTGTCACATCTATTTTAAAATGAATATACAATTGTGCCTACAGTGTCTAAGTTTTAAAATTAAAATTTTAATTGATTATAAGCACTGGTAGAGTTATAGGGTGTGTAAAAAGTAAGAGTCAAAGTTATTCTGTTGAATCAATATAATCTAAATTTCTCTTCCACCCCCAAAATCACCTATCAAGAAGAAAAATTCCAATAAAAAGAAACTCAATAAATAAACTTCTAAAATTGTGGAAAAAAAAAAGGCTCACTTGTTAAATGGGTCGTTGTGTCATTGCTCTCCATTTCTTGAAACATTCACTAATAGACCCACACAACACTTCCATTAATTGTCTAACTTGAATTTTTCAAGTCTAATCAAAACAAACTAAAACATCTTGTTTTTGAAAAACAATAAAATCAAACATAAAGGCATTCTAAACAATGCTAATTTTTAAAATTACAGTAAAATTATCACAATAATTATTATCAAAATAGTATGAAATTCAAAAATTAAAATAGAAGACCCAAATTATTAGCATAAAAAAATCAAGTACTCGCTCTTCTTGGTTCTTGCTTCTCTACCATCTCTGAACAAAAAACATAAACTGCAACAACTAATAATCCAAAAGATAGCCAACATATAAAATGAAGCCTAGCTAGTAAAAATGAA